ACGTTATCTGTGCTGACTGATAACCGATTCAGAAAAGTCAGCAAAACCTACAGACCTCAAAATGATATTATTTGCCTTTTAATAACATTTAGTTTTCCTGTTTGATATCTTATACTTCGAATGCGCTCAAAGACATGGTGGAGATTCTATTTTCGCGGAAAAAAGGTGCCCTAAAATGTGTCTAAAAATAAACTGGTCCGTAAAAGCGCCGTGACATAGGTCTAGTATGGGAGTTGCCCGCTCCGGGTTATGGGATCCTGGTCACGTGACACAAATTCGTTCCCTTGAAGTGTGACACACTTGAAACATGCATGAGAAGACACACAAGGCTGTCCGTTATGAATAAGATGTACCGTGGTTTCCTAGATGGGAAATCAGAGGACCATTTGATTCCAAATAGAGAAAGGAGAACACCAGGAAGCCATGATTTTAACTTTTTTATTGTACCGAAAGGACATAAGGAGTATTTTTAGATTTTCCGTCTTTCCCGAGACAATAACTGAATGGAGCAGACTCCCAAAAGAAATTGTCATAAGCCAATCTCAATTTTAGGTTTTCTTTTATCAGGGGAAACCAATGACGATTTCCTCATTAACACATTGAAAGCACTTTTTAGGCTCAAACTCTCATATTACGCTTGGGCCACCTGTGATCTTGGTCTGGAATCGGGTTTGGCTTTTGAGTAAACTACCGGAGTGTATGATGGTATTTATCGTTTCAATTCAAAATGAATAAGAGAGAAAGAGAAATGTGCAAATGCCTTCTAATGTAGGTAGACTTATCACAAGTCGACCTTACGACTTTCTAAGGGCGGTCTGAAAATGGGTATGGATTTTATAGGCCTGGGGTGCTTACCATTTACACAAACAAAGCGGGTGGAAATCGTGTGCAAAAAACAAAAAACTACAAAATTTAACGTGGTGGGAGCTAAACAGACTAGAAAGAGTGCAAAAATTGCATCCCTTCAAATCATAGTCCATGTTTTCTGAGGCTCCCCAAACGGAATGACGCCAGCCGTTTGATTAACCATCCAGAATTTCAGGATTTCCCATGCAAATGGTAAGTACCGGAGGTCCGAAAATCGGTGTGAAAATGACATTTTTTTGGTCTGAAATAGGGTCAGGATTTGGCGAACCGTGCGGCACACCCCCACCAAGAATTCTTAGGATTCCTCCCCCAGCCCCCGTTTCCTATGAACAATCAAATCAACAGCGTGCTACATCTGGCGATCCATTTACGCGAGCTAGGGCCAACATTCTGCCGGAAGGAGGGTTCAACATATCGAAATGTGCTCGCTCGGTGTGTAGAATTGATCAATCGTTTAGAAAAGCTCGTGTTCATTTCTATGAAAGTCGAAACTGAAAGTTAACTCGCGATGAAGAATTTGATTCACATGTGTCTCGCATGATTTTAATTGCGGTGTTTACATAGTCTTAGATCGATTTATTCGTAGGTATCCTACTAACAAGTTTAGGGATAAGAATAAGTAGCTTATCACCTGCCCATTTTCGTATGTATAGGCACTGAAGGCAGTGAACGTAGCATCTGAAAACAAAAGAAGTTTTTAGCGAACCAAGAGAAACGTCAACAGCCGCGATGGCGGTTAGCAAAACAAGTAAAACACACTTCGGTTAACATATCCGAATGACAGTTCCGAACAAAAATCCTGTTAAGATGATTTACGAAAACAAATACCTGCCGTCGTTTCTCTCCATAGTTGTAACAAACTTCTCGAACGTATGTGAAGAGCAGCTCCGGAGCAGGTCGAAAAGGTCCAGTTAGCTCGATGGACAGCCCCAGAGACCGCAAGTTAGCTAAGTCGGTCATCAGAATGGGTTCCAGTCACTTGAAACTTTCTTGAATCGTTTCAACTTTCCGACTTTAATGAGATGCAAATTAAAGTTACTTGAGATTTTACTTAGGCGTTCACACACGCATATTTCGTTAAGTAAAACTTAACAGCTCTTAAGCTCTCTCATACTAGTAAAGCCTGAAGTATTTAAGTAATCCTTGTACTATACGTTGTATCCTGGCCACGTATGAGCTAGGGTATCGAGGGGAGGGGTCCTTGTTCAGTTGTTTCCATTTAAAAATCGCTTTTGTTCCCTTGTTTACGCTGTTATTCAGAACCTCTTTTCAAGCTAAACCTTTTTCTGTTTCCCCTCAAAACATTGAAAACCACGAACTTTTACTAATGCTCGTCAATTTTTGTTGTACCTTTCTAACTTACAGACTATCGCAATATCCCACCAATCGTAAGAATAAATCTTAATATTGTTCCCTTATACTGTCAGTTGTCGTTCTTACGTTATCTGTGCTGACTGATAACCGATTCAGACTCCGAATGTGGAGTGGCCAAAGCAGCTTATGGGCTTTCGCGTTGGTCACTGCCACTTGCAGTTACCTGGCTTAGCCGTAGGTATGAATATTATATATCTTAAAACAAAAGAACGAGTTAAGGAACTGACCCCAGTTGTTCAAAAGTTGTTTAGCGTTATCCACTATCCAGTGAATAAGTGTCAGGGAAAACCAATTGCTTTATCCACTGGATAGTGGTTTATTAGGTGGACAGTGTTATCCACCTTTTGACCAACTGGGGCCAGATGGGATATTCATGAAAGGTAAGGTTTGTATTTTTCGTAGAATTGGGTTTAAGTTTTTTTTTATTCTAATTAATTAGTTGTGATGTAAACAAGAGAAAACGTAGTGCCACCACAATCATTATTTACCCTTGCCAATGAAAATTGATGTTCGCAACAAATCTGGTATCATAGCGGGGCTCTCTCGCGCGAAGCGCACCAGCGGAGCACCATGGGTAAGAAAATGAAGTAATCTATCCATCCGAGAAAATTTGGTAATCACGTGACCGTACACCGAGCGACCGCCCGAGCGACCGTCCGTCCGCACCACAGGCATACCAATGTAAAATAACTCAATCAACAGGTATGGCAACCCAAATGCAACTCGAGGTTATTTTGGCGGGAAATCGCATAGCCACGTGCGTCTTGTAAAGCAGAGACAACTAAAGAGTCAATAAAGACGAAAACGAAAAGCGGAAATTGTTTCTGTATCCGTGTTGTCTAAAGTATTTAGTTTAGACTAATTGTCATGTCCACAAATTTGGAATATAGAGCAGGAGAAAGACAGAGAAAAAGAAAAAGTAGGCGGTAGGCCAGCGAAGCTCAACAAGAAAAAGGGCGACAAAGGTCTAGAGCGAGAGATAAAAAACAAAGGAGACATTTTTTTATTGGAAGAACAACATCAAAATTTTGTAGCGGTGGTGACAAAATGGGAATTGCTAGCGGCCACCAACGCAAGGTGAAAATAAGCGGCAGTGAAAAAAAGTGAACGAGAACACGTACGAGATTTCCTCCATAAAACTTGTAACTAAGAAGTTTCTGGAAGTTTCACGTTGTAGTAGTGCAAAAAAAAAAAAAACGGCAAAGAAAAGTACACAAAAAAAGTGTGCTGCACGTGCAAAGTTGCTTTTTTTTGCTAATTACACCCATTGTTGTTTTTTACCATTCTCCGGCGTTGCCTTCGCCGCTTAGCATTACACGATTTTATTTTTTTTTTGAACAAACTATAAATATTATCGAGAGCTTCGCTTTTAGCCCTGGCTAAATCTATATATTAACTATGTTCGTTAGAGACTGGTGGGGGTAAAATAAGTGCTTCAACGTACGAAGATGTCTCATGGCTAATTTCATAAATAATTCCATTTTTTCTTGTTTATTGTTAATTTTTCAGTTATACTGCTACTGACACTTCACATTTCGGTATTTATATCTTTTGTATGTCAAAAATTTTCTCGTCGCTTTTCCCACCCATTCCACGAATCAAAAAGATCAACATGCCTATCTTTCCGTTCCGATAATTTACTGCATTATTTACTGGCAAGAGAAGACGATTAACTTGCACTGACTTTCTCCTTAGCTGATCACTGCAAAAAAACCTGCTACTATAGTCTTGCTTCTCGCCAAGTTTTACTTATCACTCAGTCACCCAAAATACAACTAGTTAATAATATTGTACGCATACCCAGTTTAACGACGGTCGAACGCCGCAGTTCCCCGTGTATGGTCAAATCAAGCGCCTTGTAAGAACGTTTAACATGTTTAAAGACAATTATTGGTTTGTCCTTCTTTTGACAGTGTTTTGTTCCCGTGATCCCCAAAACAGTTTTATAATCTGTTGTTCCCTGAGATTTGCTTTCCTTTTCCACCTTTTCTCAGGTAAAATTGGCCAGTCCCCTTGTTCCCTCAAAGCCCCACATACTGTATCTTCCTGATACAGCTCTTATCTCTGTTGCAGACATCCTAAATAACTGCGCTCTGAGGTATTAAACCCTAGGTTCCGCAAAACATCTATCATGTTGCATCATCTTTGAACTTTATAGTGTATTTAAAAATAGCATCGTACCCTCTTTCAATTTGAGCAATCAAAAACTTCGAGCGAAGGAACGAGCGGTATACCAAAAAACCTTTCAGTTGAATTTAAACTGTACTGAACGCCAGGCCTGGTGTTCTGCTCCATCAGGCTGCTGATTGTCATTCACTGAACTTAACGGACGACTTCGTTTAACCTTGGCTTAAAACCCCCCGCAATGTTTTGACGCAGCAGGCAACGTTGGCAACCACCGAGTAATAAGCATGATAAAAAGTTCCAGAAAAATCGGAATATGTTTAACTATAGAGAATATTTCTTTTCGTTTAAACATTAAGGATGAAGGTTATCGATGCCTCCTTATTTTTGTACTCAAACGCAAGTTGCACAACGATTATTTAAGAAAAGATAAGATTTCGAAAACAATAGATTTGGCGAATGGAATGACGTCGACGAATAGTCGTGGATTATCAATAATTATCAGTAATTACACAAGTAAGAGTTTCATGGACAGTACCGCTCAAATGAACACATGGTTTGAAAGTGTACCCCTTTACTTTTGAAACACTGTATGTTCAATTGACAAACGTTTAAAGTTAGAAGAAAACAAAATCATGAACAGGGCTGGTTATTGCTGGCGTTGCGAAGCACCCTGTACACAACATTGTTCACGATGTGGGATGGCGTATTACTGCTCCAAGAAATGTCAGCAACAAGACAAGTGGCGACATAAACCCGACTGCGATGCAGCAGCGTTGAAAATGCAGTGCTCCGGCTGCAACGCTAAACAGGAGGGAATGTTGAAGTGCACCAACTGTTTGAACTCCTACTATTGCAACGCAGAATGTCAGAGAAGTGACTGGGAGAGACACAAGACTTTCTGTCAGGAGGCTGTTGACAAAACGTTGGTATTAGCTGGAGATATGAAGGAATTACTTGAGATCAAAAAGGATAACCCCGGCCTTCGATTTACTTATTACTGGGGGAATACGCCTGCTGTTGACCTGCTCAACTTGTCAATGAATGAAGGGGAAGAGTATTCCAATCCACTGGCTTTGTTGCTTTGCGGAGTCGGTGATCCAAGGAATGTTCTACTTACGATTGCTTCGCTGCCTGATGTTTATACTCAACATGTGAGTTTCGTTTTGAATGACATCTGTCCTTGTACGTTGGCAAGAACAGTTCTGCTTCTATACATATTATACAAAGGTATTTTGGATTATTCGTTGTCTATTTTTTAACAGATCTACTTGTATGCGTACTTGTCTGACAGTGTGCCTTAGCGCCATTAAACAATGTTATTTTCAAATTATGAGATTGACATGACAGTCATTGACATTCTTGACAGCCAGTTAAACTGCCTCTACCTAACCTCCACTTCCTTCTGATACATTCTCCTCACTTCATATCAATATCCGTGGTCTACCAAAACACTTTGATGACTTATCAGAATTTCCTCTTACATTGAACAGGTCTTTCTCCGTTATTGCTGTTTCTGAAACGTGGTTACATAGGTCTAATTCTAATTTATTCCATTTTCCAGGCTATCATTTTATCTTTAGTCACAGATAACATAAAGCGGGTGGCGGGGTTGGTCTTTATATTCAGTCTCACCTAAAATTTAAGCTTAGAACTGATCTCCAATCTTCTAAAAATACACTGTAAGAATCAATCCTTGTGGAAATACAACCGCGTAGGAAGAATATCATTGTTGGCTAATTTAATCGACCCCCTAATGCCTCGGTTGCTGATTTTAACAACTCTCTCGATGGCATCTTATCAACTATTAGCTTTGAGAATAAGCTATCTTATCTCATGGGTGATTTTAATATCAATATCCTTAACTCATAATCCCACCAACCTTCTAATGAGTTCATCAATCTTATGATTTTTAATAGTCTATTGATTTCTAAGCCAACTCGCATAACTTCCTCAACTACAACTCTGATTGATAAAATTTTCACAAACAATCTTGAACACAGCATGAACAGTGGCATTCTCTACACTGATTTATCTAATCATCTCCCAATTTTTCAAGTCACTCATCTAAAATTAGATGCTGAATCATTTCGCCAACAGAGATTGGCACGCCCCATTAACTCCGCAACAATTGCAGCATTCAGGTCTAGGTTGGAAACCACTGACTGGTCCCTAATCTATAACTCTGACTCTACCATTGATTCCTACGACACATTCTCTAGTCTTCTTATTTCAGCATATCATAAGTCATTTCCACTTAAACTTGTATACCCTGAATCGCGCGTTCTTCAAAACCCTGGTTTTCAAAAGGTCTCTGTATCCTGTAACAGGAAGAATTCTCTTTATAAACAATTCCAAATAAACCCTACATCAATTATTGTAGTTTAATATGGGCATCTATATACTTCATCTATATACTTCAAAAGAAAGCCATTCGTATAATTACGTTTGCTCCTCCGCGCACACCCTCTAAGGCCCTTTTCTCTAAGCATTAATATTCTTCCACTCCACTCTTACTATCTATAAATTCCATGTTGCTTGTTTTGTATTTTCACATTTTAATAGCATTTTACCTACTCCTGTTTCCTCGATCCTACGTTTTAATTCTGAATATCACGATTATATGACTGTTCACGCCTTAATCTGCATAAAATCTGTCATAAGTATCAATTTGCCATCACTTGGCAAGCTCCGATTATTTGGAATGATATTCCGTTAACTGTGCGCAATAGCCTTACAATAAGTAACTTTAGAAAAAAAGTTAAGACTGCATTTTTTGAGTACTTGAATTAGCCTATGCATAAATTGTTGAAGGGCCATAGAATTAATATTTAAGTTTATATTTTTATCTAACCTTGTGGGACTATACTAGGTTTATTTGTTTGTATGGTTTATAGGAATATATTATCGAGTATTTGTTAATTTAGTAGTCATAATTAGTTGCTAAGTATTTAATAATTACTTGTTGGTTTAATAAATCTTAAACTTAATTAAACTTGTTAATAATTTAATCAAGTCTCCCGTCACCAATTTTGTATACCTTGTGAAAGGTCGAACCCAGAAGTCATTTCAAAAGTAGGTTGAGTTTTATTGTCCGGGTGAATGTAGTCCTAAATAGGACTGTTTTTTTTGGTGACAGTGACTGACGTTTCGACAACCTGTGCGATAGTCATCTTCAGAGTAAAAGTGAGTTTTATCACGTCATTTGATGGAATTTTACTCATAATACTATCAACTGACGTGATACAACTCACTTTGACTGTGAAGATGATTACCGCACAGGTTGTCGAAACGTCAGTCACTGTCAACAACAACAACAGCGTTCAACCCGACGATCAAACTCAAACTATTTTTGTATACCTTGTGGGACTATACTAGGTGTATTTGTTTGTATATGGTTTGTACGAATATATATTATCGAGTGTTTGTAAACGAACGACAATTTTGCTGCGAGATAACTAGTTCGTCCAATTAAAACTGCAAACCATATTTCTTTAACATGTACGAAAAGTCATTTGTTCAAACATACGTCACAGCAGTTTCCCATCTTTAGGTGGGTACGTATTTGTATTGCGCATGCCTGCTCTTTACAGCTTGCTTTGCGATCATTCAACGAAAAATCCTGTTATAGGAAATTTATTATGAACAAAATATTCTCCTAAAAAATGAACAGCGCAGTCTAGAAATGTATTAGAACAACTTCGTTTATTTCATTGTCACAAAAGAAGGCTGTAGAGAGTCTTCAAAACAACAATCAAAAGTAAACATGGAATTACGTATGAACATTTTAAAATCTGTTTTGTTATGTTAGCTTGATATCACTGACGACAACTTTGTATTAATTTATGGCCTTGTCCAATAAGGAATGCAAGACTTTGATTTGTTTAATATCAATAGTTTTGGAAGGAGAATAACTATGTTTTTAAAGGCTTATTTTCTTGTGCACAACGTTCAGGGGGAAATGAGGTCGCTTCTGCAGTGGTCCGTATTTGGTATTCTGTCCTCATTTCTGAACAAGATTTCACTCTATTGATGTCAGCCCTTCAAGATCTCGTGGCCACAGCCGAACTCAGCACCATCACTGATGGCAAGATGGAGATTTCTGCTTCCCAGCTCAGCCAGCTTAGGACAGTTTGGGCCACCTGGCTTCGTTTGTCCGAACGCAAGGGACCTTGGGTAGCCAAACTAAGGACGAAAACGAACTCGCTGGATTCAGGGAGAAACAATGGCATACGAAATTATATGCATGCCATCCCCAAAGAACACAGGGTTTCCGCACAACACTTTTTTGACACAGGAATCTTTCATTCCACTACAAATGCTAAGGAAGTAACGCGACAAAATCCTACGTTAACTGGTAGAGCAATGCTTCAACGCTCATCCCCCATGGAGTTTCAGTACAATATTCCATCAGACGTGCTTCCATTCACGGGATGGGATTACAAGGCAATCAAGAAGGTCTACTACGATAAATCACTGCCTTATATGTACACCCTCTACATCTCAAATATCCTGCAAAAATCCTTTAGCAAAATGACCAGTGATCGGGTGAAGTTTCATTTTATTCTCTGTGACTTTCTAAAGATCGAATCTTTCCTTCCTGGGGGACTCAGATATGACCGCATTACTACTTCAAACTTATGGGACTACTGCCTACTTGGAGATTTGCTGACCAAATTCAAGAGGTTTCTAAACAGTGCCAATCCTCACACGGTCATGTTGACAGAAACGCACAACTGGTCGCTAAACTATATGCACGAAATCATTCACATTTTGCCATACTTGAAGGGAATTGATAAACTGAATGAGAAAGCTTTTGAAGACACACAGAATATGGAACTGGTGAATTTATCGGGACTTACCTCTGTTGTGGAATATCTTAACTTGACAGAGGAATTTCTTCGTTTTGTACGCGCATCTCTTCTAGCGACATATACAGATGAGCAGTTTGCTTTCTTTAAAAGAAAAATGAAGATTCCATCTGTTAAGTATCTGGTTCGTTCACTGGGGCTGCATCTTCGAGACTTTGTACGAAACGAAAACACTGTTGCTCCACATAGATGGGCGCTTAATTGTCGTCGAGTTGTCATGATGAGAGGTCATGAAAGAGTTCTGGAGTGGAAACTTGTTTCTGATTCTGTTACTCAGGGCACAGCAGAATGAATTCAATCAAACTGTTTTTTGTATTAGAACAGGTGAGGTTTACAATGTCCCACCAGTCACGAGTAATAATTTTGTCCGGCTGTCAGCCATTTCGCTTGTGTTCTCAATTTTCGCTCTTCCTCAATATTGTTTCCAAAGAAACTTCGGTAATGCATTGTATAACCGTTCTTTGCACTCTATAGGCTGTTAATACTGTCCTCACCGACCAACCAGTAACTTTTAGTATATTTAAAATGGAATATTATTATCAAATGAAGCTTATGATTGCCAGAGGGTTGTCACCACGAGTCATGCGACCTTTTTTAAAAATTTGATAGATCACCTATGCGTTTCCAGTATACCACACAACGAAAATTTTATCAATAAAATCATAGGTGACGAATTACTCCTTAATTTGGCGCAAAATTTCAGCGATAATTTGTAATTTCACATGTGAAATTACAAAATTGCCATGGCCACCTTCGGTACGTCTCGGTGTCAAGATGGCGACGAAGTTTTAAATGTCATGAATGAAGATGCCAGGGCATAAAAAGACGCTTTAGAAAACCTGAACACACGAAAGAGCACATCAAGAAGGATTCTAACAGGTATTTTGTCGAAAAATTCTGAACTTAAGCCAAATTTAAGCTCTAAACGTTCGAGAGAGTTGAGTTCTCGATCGATACGATCTAGGATAAACATGTCAAAAATCCAAGATTGCTAACGTAATTCGTCACCTATGATATTAATAGGTAATCAAATGGTATACTCGTGAAATTAGGGAATAATTTCATTTGCGTTTTGTCCAAATCCTAATAATTCCCTCGCCTAAAGGCTCGGGAAATTATAAGGTTTTGGACAAAACGCGCGTGAAATTATTCCCTAATTCCACCCGTCACCATTTGGTTACACATACACCCTTTTTTTTTATAAGAATATATTTTATAAGAATATCAAGGCTGAAATTCGCAAAATTTTAAGAATATTTTAAGAATAAACCCCAGACTGAGATATTGAAAAGAATATATTTTTGTGTTCAAAAGCTGTAAATACAATACAATTGTGGCCGGAAAAACAACATTCTTATTAAATAAAAGAGTGTACTTATAACCAAACAGTATGTACGTATCTTCCTTGTATGGGTAAGGAGGGCGCCTTTGGGAATGAGGTTACGGGGTAGGGAAGACTCTGTATTGCATGCAAATTCTCTTACACAATGTCTTTTCTTTCCTAGATTCCGAATTCTAGTCCTCTTTCTCTATTTTTCAACCTGGGGGGACTTACCATAGATTCAAAAAGGGAAAGAGACGAGACAAGGAAATAAAACATGTCTCTGTTTTTTGTTCCATTTCCGATCCGGCGGCTCCCGGCGGCTGGATATTCAACATCGTTCCCAGGGTCCTCTCAGACAGGAACCCTGAATCGAAAAAAGGTCAACTTTTAATTCTTTTATACAGTTACAGTCGAACCTTCAGTAATAGACGCGTCTCTACAACGGCCACTTGTTGCTGTCCCCAAGGCGGCCATTGTGGAGAGGTTCAATTGTAATTAATTAGGATTCAGGTCCCACCACCCATCTAATCTGCCTAATAGCTCACAGTACCTAACGGATAGAAGGGCTTTATGAGGTTATTTTGAATGATTCATGATCAGTGAAAACTTGTGTATATTATGTCACCACAAAGCTTAGTGACGAGGAGGCCTAAGGAACCAACTGGGCTTTTAGTCGATGGGCTCCCTTTAACTTTAAGTAGAACTCACGTCTAACGTCTCCAAATACACACCTCTCTCGATTCATACTTAATGCTGGAGAGAGACCTGTCCTCCATTAATTCTAGAATATCTTTAGGCTGAAGTATAATACGTTTGGTCTTTCACCCTCGAGTAAGGATTCGGAAACCAGCATTTCCAAAGTCCGATGATCGATTGAGGACGAAGCACACCTATCCCCTCCACCCCCCCCCCCCCCCCAAAAAACCCCTTTTCAAAAAAAAAAAATTTTAAAACCGTTTTATACTTGTATTGCCCCTTTTTAGAAATTTTTTAAAAATGAAAATATGTTTCGCCCCAAAAGAGTTTTTAATTTACACACCACTCTATTTTCCAGCGACAAAATCCCCCCCCCCCCCCCCCCCCCCCACTACACTACAGTTTTACATATAAAAAATATTTGAGACCGTTTTTATATGATTATTGCCCATTTTTAGAATTTTTTTAAAGTCGAATCTGACGTTTGCCGTAAGCGTTTCTTTAATCTCTACCGTCATCTATTTTCCAGCGACAAAACGAATGGTTTTGATAAAACTGGAACCAACGTATGGTGTGTAATTCTCTGGTTCAGTTCAATCATTTCAGCGGTAATGTAGGAGCAGTTCTTTTTGCAAGAAAGAGGTATTGAAATAGAACTTGAGCATATTTTACCAGGGAACAGAATAATTCTCACTCACTACAGCGCGCTTAGCCTTCCATCAAAGCTTCCCAGCTAGCAAAAGAAGTTAGCGCCAAATCGAATTTTGACGACAGTTGGTCGAACTTTATGTGTACGTATAATTAAAAAAAAGGGAGAGAGCCAGAGTGAAAGAGAGCGGCTAGCTCACAAGGCACTGGAAATGACTTCAGTCTCTGCCAGTAACAAAGACTTTAATCTACGTGGCTCTCAAATACGCGTTTATACCTACGCTTTTCAAATAAAGCGGAAAGCAACTTTGCATAAGATTTATCGGGAATGTAATCTCTCCCGGCCTAACTTCTAATTTTCAGTTATTCGGTAAAAGGAAAACTCTCCATAGTTTAACTAGCCCTTTAAAACGAATAGTGAGGCTGAGGACAAGTGATCAACTATTGAGATGAAGTGGGAAGCGTCCACTCCAAAGTAAATTCGTCTCCCCTATTCAAGTTGACTCTACAGCAGTTCACAGCCGACTTGAAGGGAAACACAGTGTTTTCATTTCTCACATAGTCACGTGGCTCCAGGCCCAAATCAGAAGAGATAGTTTTTATGGATGGCAGCTTCTTCCTTTGTTTCCTGAAAGACTCCAATTCTGTTTCACTGTATGACTCGATAAGCGCGGCACGGAGGTAGTGCTGGAAGTCTGGAATAATGTTGTGGTATTCAATTAAGCTCGTCAAGTGCCCTGTCGCCACAAGCAATGGATTGTTGTTGTGTCCTTCACAACTTTCGGTGTGAGTTCAGGGGCCCCCAAAAATATATCGGCTTTCACTTTGGGCAAATAGTCATCCACCCAATTATGCATTTCAGTCATTAAGACTGAATGACTGTTGCTGACATTCAAGTACCCCTTAAATTTTGTCAGTAAGGCTGGAAGGGAAATGTAGTCGCTTAGATTTGATGTTGGGATACAGTCATATGTAAGGTCGACTGGTAGGAATGGATCAATCATCATGCAGTCACATAGTATCACCTCCAACTTCAACCGACCACTTCTCAGTTTGTCAATGCACTTATTCATGATATATGATAGGTAGGTGCTGAACATCTCTGGAAGCGAATCATTGTAGGAGACACTCTTCATGGCTTTGTAATCCCAGCTTGAAAAGGGAAGATTACTCGGGTCAATGTTGAAGTCGTACTCGTCTCGTTCTCCAGGCTCATACTGAAATAGATAACTTGTTAGAGTTACGTTCTCACGCGTTAACTGCGATGATTTCACGCATTTTGAGGCGAAAAGCCCATCTTTCATCCACAACTTAGCAGATCTCTTGTGGTCTTTTGGGATCGAGTTTAATTAAAAATCCCAGCCTCTGATCCAGTATCGCTATCGAAGGCGTCATTCCTTTGTTCAGTTACCCAGGGTCCTGAGAGAGAAGACAACTGGACCCAAACTTGCCACACCTCCTTCAGCTTACCCAGTTGATCAACTGACACCATGCATGTTCACGAAGCCATTCGTTAGAGTGTTTAAATCACTAGCGTCCAAAAGGTCGCGCAGCGCCGACATCAGCAGTGAAAAATCGCTTTCTGAAATTCGTAGCGAATACCATATGCGGATTACAGTACCAATTCCGTCATTTTGTCCTGCAAGATGAAAAGTATCGAATTTTATAATACAACCAAGCAAGTAGATACAAGAGGAATTAGTGTTCTTTTGCTGAGATGGACTCTGTTTAGTCCATATTACTTGTTTTTCCTTTGCTTTTTAAAGGCTGCGTAATGAAGAGAAAGCGATCCCATTGTTATGACCGTCTTATCGTAAAGCTAATCAACGCTTGCGGTTCATTAAAAGAAGCCATCTTTAAAACGGTTTTGATGAAACGTAGGCATAGGAGTACTTGATAACTGATCCAGATAGCCTCTGTTTTGAACACGGCATGCTTATTCATTGAGGGAGAAAAGTCATGTCAAATCTTCAGTTTTGATCTATATTATCCTACGTTCTGTGAAATCAAACGTTTTCAAATGTGCAAAAACTTTCTTAACAATAGACCATCATAGCTTGTATGTTTTGTTTTCCCAATTCAGACCACGTGATGTTCTCCAGGGAATTTGCCTTTTGTCTCTCCATAATTTATGCATACATATTCGCGTGGATGCACCTACATAGGGCTTCATTAGGTAGAAACAGTTCTCAGGAGTACCATTACGTGGTAAAAAAGTCCATTAAGGTGGTTCGATACAGTTTTTAGGGTCAATACCTCCCAAGTTTGAGCATAAACTACGCCGCCATAAACAAATATTTGGAAAAATGGCCACCACAGTTGTATTAGATAAAGATGATAATTTGTTATGATCAGGGTTGCAATGACATCGGAGTTGTTATAGCAACGAAATGACGCTATTACCTTTTTTACTTGCAGCAGTATATCTCGGCACTGGGAACTGTTCTTCCAAAATCGTTCATGAGAGCTTTCTCCTCCAATAGCAGCCTTGATGTTCGTCAAGTTTAAGCGAAATCTGTAATTCGCTAATATTTTGTCAGTAATTTTGTGTTTACAAGTGAGAGCTTCTGATTATTCAGGATATTGTCTACAAGTTTCATTTTTTCGTGCACAACAATAGCTAGCATTTTTGCATATTTCAAATTCATTGTTATTTACTGCTGTTTACGTGAAAATGAAACTTGGAGACAATACCTTCAATAACGAGAGGCTTTCGCTTGAAATGACGAAACTTCCGATGAAAAATTAACGAATTGTAGCCTTTATTTTACTGACTAACAATATATCAATAATCTTGAAACTAAAAGGTAATATAAAAGGAAGGTTAATCTCAAGAATCTTAAATTTTTTAAAACTTCTATCGAGCAGTTTTAAAATTATTCGCTAATCTGTTAAAGAAGACCAAAATGTTTACAAAACCGCTAACAAGAGTGCTTCGATACATACTAATAAGACCGTTCTTTCTAGCAATCGGCTGAAGCTATCTCCATGATCTTTCACACACGTTTTTAAAAAGATTGTAACGACTATGAGGTGAAATTGCACGTCAAAAGCGCTTCGTTTTCTACAGATAACGGCCAAACATCAACATTTTCCATTTTTTACTGTGCATGTGTTTCTAACCATAAAAACTTCATCCCAAAATATCTCGATAACGTTCTTACAGATTTCGCTTAAACTTGACGAACATCAATCGCTATTGGAGGAAAAAGCTCTCGTGAACGATTTTGGTAGAAGAGGTCCCAGTGCCGAAATATACTGCTGCAAGTGCAATAGGTAATAGCGTCATTTCGTCATCACCCTTGATTAATGTGATATATATAAATGCAAATTTTCTATCCTTGTTGTGAGAAGGAACCACTATGAACCCTGAAGCAGATCGCTGAGACGTCAATATATTCTGTTTTCTGAGAAAGAGAGGGTCACCTGTCTTATTTTTAGAATCGCCGCGTAGCTATAGAACATTTCTGCCCTTCATTAAGCACAGCCTTGCGATTAAAATATTACAATTCAACGGCAATCTACTGTTAGTGCCCCGTTGGACAAGACTGCCATGTCGCTTAACAATGCAAAGTAACTCAAGAGTACTTAGTAGCCCTCGGGGGGGGGGGGGGGTCGCCAAAAAAATTTTTTTCGGGAGGGGTATCCCCGGGGGGCTCTTTTTTTTCTTCTTTTTCAGACACAGTCATTGTTTTTTGTTGTGCAACTTTTTTAAACTAATTGAAACCCCCCCTCATATTTTGTTTGGTCACATGTGCATACTCACTCTAAAAAACCCGCTGTTGCAAAAAAAAAATTACAATTACCCGAGACACTGTGTGGTCGCCCCCCTGTGAAAAATCCCCCCTGTCACCAAAAAAAGAAAAAAACACGAAAAGTTGGTTTGGGCGCGGGGGGGGGGGGGGGGGGGGCACTCAACAAAGTTTTAAGTGGCGGGATTCACCCGGAGGTCCCCTTTATTTACCATTTTTGACAGAAAGGTACCCTTTTAGTTGGTATACCTATTATTGACAAATGGAACCCCCCTGTCATATAGCTAGTTTAGAACGCTGCATCCCATGTAACTGCTGTAAATACACCGTTTGTTTTTTTTTTCTTTTTCTTTTTTATCAGAACAAAACACTTTTTGAATAACCAGATAGTTTTCTTGGGTCCTTTACAGACCGAAATGACACACTTCCGTAACCTTTCATACTCTTCAACGAGTGAAATTTCACCAGAACAAGGTCCCACTTTTTGGGAGGAGCTTTCCCATATAGGCCATTATAAGGAAGTATCCCGCTTCTGGGACGGCAGAGAAATTCTTCGACGATAAAGGATGTATTGGCCGGAATCGTTGGAATCGTGCGACAACGGGAATACAAAGCATTCTAGATTAGTAACAACCCAGGAAATATACTTTCATGGCAAAACGTTCACCAATCACTTTAAGTCTCTTTCATGAAAGAGTCTCTTTTTGATGATTTAAATATATTCATGATTGCGTGAGCTCAGCATTTAAGATCACCAGGCCGAACACCGGGGATTAGCTTCAGTTTTCCCTCTATGAGAAGAAAAAGCTCATCCGAATCGAATACTTTTGAGAAGTGCAATTTAACTGTGTTTTTGATGTTACAGAACCGCCATCTTTCCAGTTGTAAATAAACTCGTATGTGATAGCTTCTACAATATTGCTTTGCCACTCGAGTCTGCTTGCACTGCTAATGTATGCTGCAACTTAAGTTCTTGGAAAAACCCGCTCTATTCTCGGAAATCCCTGTGTAGAATGATAAGAAAGCTCGTTTATCTCTCTCTCTTTTTTGTTGTGCCACTTTTGTTTTGTTCTGTCGAGTGAATTATCACCCTTATTTACCTCTTGACTTCGACTTATAAAAAGTCTCAAACGGACCCTGTGCCTGTGATAAGTGTTTATCAGACATGTTGTCACGGAATGTGGGGTGGGTGGGTGGGGGGGGGGGGAATAGTGCGGCTTTGGTCTTTCTAGCTCCCAATTCGTTGTTGCATTGATGACTACGTGGGTAGCTTGATATCAGATGTCATGGTGTCCTGTTACAACTGACATCTGACCTAGGAGTATCAATTCATTTGTGTGGCATAGCAAATGCGTCATCGTCATTTCTACTGAATGTCAATATCTAGTAATGTCTCATCTTATTAGTGATGAGAATATGAGGGAATGAAGGAGGAAAAGAAGTGCACACTAAGCCTTGAAGAAGAAGAGTATTGGTTAGGTGTCAGCTGGTTTGCTATATAACGGTCACGCGAAGACGATATCTCCCAGATTATTTTTAGTAAGTTTAAAATTCAAGGAAAAGATAAATATACCAAGGTAAGTTATCTGATTGAGTGTATTCTTTATCCTTAATGGCAACAAATGTCTTTGTCACTACATCTTGCTAATTAGTCTATGAAGTACGGGGTAATTTGAGACGCCCAATAACTGATTCATCTTGAGGAAAAGATCCCAGTAAGACGATATCAAAGATATCCATTGCCGGCAGGAAGTATAGGTTTGTTTGCATTCCCGAGTATCTTTGAAGGCAGTTGCTGACTCAATGCCCTGCAACGAGGTAACCTAATAATTTCCCTTATATTCCAGAGACAGCACGTAGCAGCAAAGATCATGAACAAACCCAACCATTGCTGGCGATGCGAGGCAAACTGTACTCAACAGTGTTCGCGATGCAGAGTGGCGTATTACTGCTCCAAGGAATGTCAGAAACATGACAAGTGGCGACATCAACCCGAATGCGAGACAGCAGCGTTGAAATTGCAATGTTCAGCGTGCGATATTGAACAAGAGGGACTGATGAAGTGTACCAACTGTTTGAAAGCCTGTTATTGCAGCACGGAGTGTCAGAGAAGCGACTGGAAAAGACACAAAACGTTCTGCCACGATGCTGTTGACAAAACATTGAAATTAGCACAAAGAATGAAGGCGCTTCATGAGATGAAAAAAGATAACACAGGCCTCGGAGCTACTTACTACTGGGGTAATATCCCAGCTGTCGACCTGCTCAATTTGTCAATGAATGAAAGAGAAGAGTATTCCAATTCACTGGCTTTGTTGCTTTGCGGAGTTGGTGATCCAAGGAATGTTCTACTTACAACTGCTTCGTTACCTGATGTTTATACCCAGCAAGTCAGCTTTGTTTTAAATGACATCTGTCCTTGCACATTGGCCAGAACCGTTCTGCTTCTATACATGTTATATAAAGGTATGTTTAATTATCAAGATATAAGTTGCTTTGGGTATACCGTAAATGATCGATTAAGCGCTGCAGCACTTATTTAATTTTTTCGTGTCATTTTTTGTTATAGGTGCGGCGCTTATTTCAACTACGGGTAAAACACTGAGGGGAATATAGAGAGTATTAAATAGGGCGCGTACGTAATAGGTATGTTTAATTTAGTATAAAATATGTACACCTAGAATTGTTATGTAAACCAGGTTTGAAAAGTTTCCACATATTAAAACTTTAGAACTCACGAGTTGGTCGAGGTCTTATTTCTCAAGCGATATGGTTTTGATATCTCTTTATATCAAGCGCTGTAACAAAGGTGGCGCGTTAATTTGTAAATACCCAAATTACCGCTGCGGCACTTATTCGAGTATACGTAGTGGTGCTTAATCGATAATTTACGGTATTTAACTGGGCATGAAGCCTTTTTTGTACCTCAAGCTTTTAACTTCAAAAGGGGTGCCCTTAGAGCTTTCCTTGCTAAAAACAGTTGATTTATTGATCTGACATTTTTGTTTTCGTAACGATAATTTTTTAAGATCCAGTGAAAAGGCACCGTAGTGTACCTTGAATCGGTGAGATGGAAAGCGCCCTTTTGTTGCGGGTAAGGGAGTTAATGAGACCAAACGCTGCATCTAGAGTCCCCTCCTTACGTGTATGGACATCTTGAAGCACAGTATCGGATTGTTTTTTTAACTGGTTCGCAAGGACATCAATGGCAAGGTTCCAGCAACGGGAAAATTTTTTAAAGTTTTCTAACTGCTTTACCAGCATCAAGTGATTTTCACGTAATCGCAAACACGAAGTGCAGCTGTAAGTGCCATACGGGATTACTTTTTCAAAGAGGCTTAGCGGTTGAAATGTATAATTCCATCATTGCGTATAATAGTTAATTCATTTGTTTTGAGAATTTACGCATTTATTCCTTTTTTATTTATACGATACCTTCATTGATCATTAAGGGGATGGTGAATGTATCCCGGCGTCGCCAATCGAACGTTCGGTAATCGAACCCCGATTGAACGCCAATCGTTTCATTGACTTCTATTGGGTTCGGTAATGGAACTTATCGAACTCACCCCAAAATTTTGCCAGTCAAACACTGCAACAATTGAACATAAAACCAGTCTCATCTGGTTTCAAAGAAGGTGTTGCGTTCAAATAAGTTGTATGTATTGGCTTCAATTTCAAACACGAGTACGCAAAAACAGCAAAGATGTCACCGAGGGCGCAAAGCGTGAAAAGCAAAGCGATGGTTAAAAGCTACCAAGAGTGCTCTTTCGCCGTCGGTGTCGATGAAAAGTTTTGTGGTCCTTTTTAAATTTTCGAAAGTTTATGGAAGAAAGTTTGACTTTTCTAGTATCCCTAAGTACATTATGGTCGGTAAAGTCCCATTGCACATGGTTTTTCTGTGCCGTTCATGTTTCCCAGTATTGATTTGAGTGTGAATTTATCGATTTTGAAACACTTTAACAATAAGAATTTTAGTTCCGGGTTAATTGAAACATTTTTGTTTTCAAACTGCTTCACATACATACCAGGGAGATCTTTCCGATTCAATTTAAACTGGATACGTTTTGTCTTTCTGCCAAACAAAATCGAACTAATCGGGTCGATTGAGTTTGATTGGTTTGATTGAGTTCGGCTATCGAACTCACGATTTCGATTAATCGAGCTCACCGAAAAGGTCCAGTTCGATAATGTTCGATTACCGAACCAATCGAACAACAATCCAACTGATTGGGTTCGATTGAGTTCGATTGATTTTTGGTTCGGTTTCGTTCGATTAGCTACCCCGGGATGTATTCATAGGCTACAGCTGAAAAGTGTCTGCACATTACAAGCAAGCTCTAAGTTTATCTCAACAAAGTTTTTGCAATTTCATGAGTTAACGTAGCCTGTGCCAGGTTTTCAGATAGTAGGGTCCTCACGAATATAAATCAAGCCAAGCAAAAATAAGACGCGCGCGATCTAGGGAAGGGGCGGTGGATCACTTTTTGCTGCACGACTGCACTGCTATCTTGGAGGCTGGAACAGACCATCGTAAACGGTAAACAAATGTTTCATTAGCCTTTAGCGAGAAATATTCCGCCTTGGTGCTCGATATTAACCAGCAAATCTTCATCTCTAGTTAAAATTAGGTATTCAAAATTACTTTTCACCCGTCTTAGGAGGAGCTGACGTCACTTCTGCAGTCGTCCGTATTTGGTACTCTGTCCGCATAACTAAAAAAGACTTCACACTGCTGACGTTAGCACTTCAAGACCTTGCGGCTACAGCTGAACCGAGCACCCTCACCGATGGCTTGATGGAGATTTCTGCTTCCCAGCTGAGCCAGCTTAAGATCGTTTGGTCCACGTGGCTTCGTTTGTCAGAACAGAGAGGACTCTGGGTAGAAGATCTCAGAAAAATGGCGATCAGGGCGGATTCAGGTAGGGAAGATGGTTTAAGCCATTACCTGCATGCCATCCCCAAAGTGCACAGGGCGTCTGCACAACACTTCTTTGACACCGGCATCTTTCTCTCCACCAAAACGTCTGACGAATTAACGCAACAAAATCCTACGTTGACAGGTCGCGGTTTACACCGACTTTCATCAACCTCTGAATTTTACTACAGTATTCCTACAGATGTGCTTCCATTTACGGCGTGGGATTACAAAGCAGCCGAGAAAACTTGCTATGATAAATCACTGCCGATAATGTACACCAAATATTTGTCAGAGATCCTGCACAGATCCTCTGACAAAATGAGCCGTTGTCAGGTAAAGTTTTATTTTATTCTGTGCGACTTTCTGAACATCGACACCTTCTTACCTGAAGGTTTGAGATATGATCGCGTATTGACTTCTAACTTGTGGGACTATTATCCCCTAACGGATGTGCTGACAAAATTCAAAAGACTTTTAAACAGCACCAATCCTCATGCCGTCATACTAACTGAGACACAAAACTGGCCGCGTAACTATATGCCTGAAATCGTTCATCAATTGCCGTATTATCACGGACTGGACGATCTCTTAAGAAAAGCTTTGAAAGACACACAAGATCCAGAACTTGTGGAGGAATCAGGACTTACCACAGTTGTAGAATATATCAACCTATCAGATGAATTTCTTCTCGTACTGCGCGCATCTCTGCTAGCCTCCTGTACAGAAAACGAGCTAACCTTGTTTAAAAAACAAAAGAAGATTCCATCCGTGAAGTCTCTCGTGAATTCCCTGGGGCTGTATTTACGTGACTTTGTCAGAAACGAGAACACAGTGGTTCCGTTTAGATGGGCGGTGAATTGTCGTCGAGTTGTCATGTTGAGAGGCTACGAGAGAGCACTGGAATGGAAACTTAAAACAAATTAGGCTGATCACAGCATAATCAACGTTGCATTGAATATCCCCAATAAGAGGGGCTCATAGCAATGTAAAAAACTCTAGACACTTAAAGTTCTAGAAGAATTGACTGATAGATTGCCCAAGGAGAATACTTGTTACGCTGATTACATTGGATTGAATGTTGAGATACAGTACTCTTATCAACAAAACATTAAAATTTTATTTACCTGTTGAATTTATGAAAAGTTACTTATCATACAAGAATTACGAACCTTTTCATTTTGCTCTTTGATTTGAGGAAACAACGGGAAGCCTTTGTAATGTGCGATTTTCTAGGACAGGAAGCGTGACGAAGCCTTAAGAAAGTCTGCGTGGGAGGCTAGTGAAAAATATGCAGGATTGTTGTCTGTTCGTTCATATACACTGAAAACTTCTAGGGAGGCCGGGCGAGAACTTAAAGAAACTTGCGTAAAAGATTCATGATAACCGTTTTGAATGAAAATGAATTCTTGTCCAGTTAATATGCGTTTTTGACCAAGCTTGAGGTCAAAATGGTTGGATATTGGCCAAGTTCTTTTGTTTATTTATTGACCAAGCCGAAAAACGAAAGAGGCCAGAATCCAGCCATCTTGAAAAAACAAGCCTGGTCAATAACGGATTTATTATATGGCTGAGAAGGAAACTTTTTTACGGGACCAACGCGGAAAATCCCGCGCGGGCAAGATATGCCTATTTGACTGTTAGAGAATCCAATCAGAACGCAGGATTCCCTTCATCTTGCGAGTTTGTGTATTCAGCCATATATGAAAAAACTATATCACTCTGAAGTAGTTAGTGTAGTTGATATAGACCAGTGTAATCGGGTTAGTTCGGTGTGCTTGGTGTAGTTTAGTTTTATTGATGTACTTGCTGTAGTTAGTTTAGTTGACGTAAGGCTAGCGTAGTTGCTGTAGTTTGGTGTACTTGGTGTCGTTTGGTGTAGTTAATGTACTTTGGTAAATAAAGTTGATTAGTTGGTGTAGTTTGGTGTAGACGGTGTAGTTTTGACGTAACGTCGGTGTAGTTTTGTGTGGTTTGGTGTACGAAACTATACCAAACTGAACCAAATTAAACCAAACTGCCCTAAATACACCAACTTTACTTTATTGAAATTTACCACAGTGACTCAACACGGTGACAGGGGATGAAACGGGACTTACGCCCCGATTAATATTAGCTCCTTCATTACCCACCCATCCCATTTAAGGTTGTACCACAGCACCGGGGTCTACGCACCCTACTCTTTACGAACAGCAGTGTTGGTTCTTTTACGTCCCAAAAAAATCAGAACAGTGAAAGAGCTGTGAAACGGGGCCTTTGGTTTTTCGTCCTTATCCGAGAAGACACGAATGTCTAACCATTTGTAGAAGTCATAACAAAGGCAGCACATATCAAACACCCTGAGTGTTGGTCTGGCCAGGGTATGAACCCGCCACCTCCCGTTCAGCAACCTTGCCGCGAAATACACCAGTCCGCAACAACCTGTACCAAACTACATCAACATTCACTATATCCCAAGTAACAGTCATCATACCATGAAAATCATAGCACGGAAACGCCTCTTGTCAAAGTAACGAGTGGCACTCGAAGTCACAGTTTATTTTATGGCTTGCTTCGCAATAGAGAACGATAAAGCGAATATTCTTGCTCTGATTGGCTACTCTCACGCTTGGTCAATAACGCATATATATTGTACTTCCTTCTTGCACTCATGAAGTTTAATGCCCGATTAACGCCTGTGTGTCAGTTTGTCTTCAAAGTTATTTTATGCCAAGCAATTAGTCTTAGGACCATCTTTACCAACGTTCCGTTTATTCTCCTGGAAATTTTGTATTGGAAAGAAGCGAAAAGTCGAGCCCTATTTATTTTCCAGGCGGAATTTCCTGAAATCCTTTTGTAAACGGTAAAGGACCCTTGTTTTCCCGCTCGGAATGTGCCAAATGGAAATTCGCGTTTCATTTGTTCAAACTCCTCTTTGATACCAGGTTCCGGCTTTTACGGCGCTATTTTTGGTAAATGAACTAATTTGTGTAAATGGCGAAAAAAGGATAACATAAATGCCGGTAACCCAGAAGTTCCAATTATGGCCCACAAGGTTAAGAATCCCAATAGGCTGGAGGCAAACCATTTGGCTATTTACAAGCGTCACCAAGGGGATAAACTTGGGATTACCGAGAACAAATCCAGCTAGCAATAAGGTGTCCAGAAATTGAACTCGGAGCCTCCAGATTTCAATAATTGAAATCTGGAGGCTTCGAGTAGCGTGCTAACCGCTTGGCTGCGATACTCCCTAAACGGAATTTACTGTTCTAATTCTCAGAAATATTTTGCTTTCCGAGAATTCATGTTAAATCTCCTAGGGGGAGGGAGTGCGTGGAGTAGCCTACTTAAGTATTCTGTGTTCTAGAATTCATTTTACCAACTAAGAAGGTAGATAAATCTGCTTAGTTTAACTTCTCAACAATATTTTGCGAGCTTGTACAAGAAGATGTTACCTAGTTGGGAAACCTCTTCACTGCTTACTCAAAAAGGTCACAGGGTCTAGAGGTCCTACTGCACCCTCAAGGCCGGTATACTAAAATTTCTCGGAAACCATTTTGTGTTTCCGAGAACCGGAAATGTCATCATTTACATATATTTATACTAAATTACAGTTTAGGACATTGTCCATAGCTCTCTGGTTTAAGGGTTGAAGTTTCAAGTAACTGGGTATAATGCTCAAAAGAGATCAGTGTTGGCGCTGTGATGCTATTTGTTCGACTCCGACTTCGAAGATCCTTTGCAGCAGATGCGGTGTAGCGTGTTATTGTAGCGATAAGTGCAAAGGCAGTGATGAGTTTCGGCATCAAGTAGATTGTCAGACGGCTGCTTTGAAGTGGAAGTGCTCTGGATGTAACCAAGAGAAGATTGGGTTGAAATCGTGTGGCGGCTGTCGTGAAGCGTGGTACTGTGATAAAGAATGTCAGAAGAAAGCTTGGCCGACGCACAAGCATCTCTGCCGACAGGTTATAGCAACGATCAGCGAATTGTCTGAACGGTTAAACGATATCTTCGATTTCAAGAAGAGCACAAACTCGCATGGGGTTGGAACTGTGTATTACTGGGGGAACACCCCTGCCACAGACGTTATCAATCTTCCCTTGAATGAGGGATGTGAATATTCCAAACCTTTGTCGGTTCTTGCCTGCGGTGTTGGAGACCCAAGAAATATTGTGCGTTCTCTGTGTGATCTTCCTGAAGCTTATAAAGAGGAAATAACCTTCACTTTAAACGACATTTGCGCCTGTACACTCGCCAGGACCGTTCTGATTCTTTATTTTCTTTATAAAGGTAAGTGATGAAGGCCGTCCCAACGACAATGTTCAGTATTCATAATTGCAGGGGGCGGTGGAGAGAGTTTGGGGGAAGCATTTTTTGTAATACCTTTATTTGCAAAATTTCATGACGTAATGCCTTTATTTTCAATATCTGTATGACCCCCTCAGTGCCCGTTAGGCAACAACAAAACTTGCCTTATAACCTCCCTTTCCCCCATACTTTCCATTTTCTAAGAGAGAATGTCCCGGAGACGAGGTTAAACCCCTGCCCCAACTATAAATAATGAAAACCCCCTTAAGGGTAAAAAGAATCCTGTCCGTACTCAGCTGCGTTTATGATGGGCTAAAGGTATGTCGATTTACCTAGAGTAGTTTTGGAGGCGTGGAAACATATCGATGTTTATTTTTCGTAGGAGGGGAAGAGGTTGCAAGTTCAGTGACGCAGATTTGGTATTCTTTGCGTCTCAGCGACATGGTCTATCGGTTAGTGATTTCCAGGTTGCAAGAGCTGGTCGAGGCATCCAGTCTTGAGGAACTGACAAAAGGAACGATGAAGATGAACCAGGGCCATTTTCAAAGGCTTGTTGAAGTGTGGCGCACCTGGCTTGATCTCAGTTCACGCCAAGGAGACTGGATAACAGAGGCTCGAAACAAGCGATTTACAAGTTTTGACGTACAAGAGGGAATGGATCTCTACTTGAAAGAAATTCCTAAGAAACATAAAGAATCGGCATCTGATTGGTTTGCGAACGGAATTCTTTCACCTAAGGGATCGCGGAAAGAACTGTTGCGAGAAAATTTTACACTCACCGGTTCCGATTTCCAACTTAACCGAAACAAGGGCGCCTTCTCTTACTTAATTCAGTCATCTGTCCTCCCATTTGCTGGCTGGGACTACAATGAAGTACGCCAATGGGGTCAGTCAGCGTCGCTCCTGAAAATGTATAGTGAGTATGTAAGTCACCTGCTCAAGAAATCTGCCTTGAAGCTGGCCACTGGGCGAGTCAAGTTTCACTTTCTGTTGTGTAACTGCATGGAGATTGCAAGGTTTGTTCCCCAAGGCAGCAGGTTTGACCGTGTGACAACCTCCAACATCGCAGACTTTGTTCCCTTGCCCAGCATCCTGGATACCTACAAGCCACTCTTAAACGTATGTAATCCCTTCTCGGTCATTATTACAGAGTTTTTAAATTGGTCAGTGTACACAGATGTTAAGAAAGAGCTACTTGAACGTGCTCACTTCATGCCGAAGGGTGACAGCTTTCGCCAAAAAGTTCTTGAAGATACTAAGAATCCCGCCATTGCCTACTCTAGAGCTTATCAATCTTTAGTGGAGTACCATGACCACAGTGGAAAGTTCCTCCAGTTCCTTCGCGCGGCCGTGCTGGTCTCTAAGCCCCCGGATGAGCGTAATCGCAGGAGCACGTGGAAGTCAGTGGCTAACTACAACGGGCTGGTTGCGCGTGATTTCAATCGATGCCAAAATCGAGTCTTTCCCGCCAAGTGGATGTTGAATTGCCGCCGAGTTTCGTTGCTCAATGGGTTTGAAAGAGCTGTCGAATGGATTATTCATCAATAATAAATTTAAAACAGTACTTACTTTAACTGTGTTGTTTTACCCATGACTTTTCAAGTAATGAGTGCGCTACTCATTGTGTTAACATAGTAAAT